AAAAACGGTTGTAAAGCATTGATTTTCTGTTCTTTCGATCACTTCTCCTTTTCGACTCTCCTTCTTTCTTTCTTTCCTTTTAAAAATTAAACAAATTTGTCCAGTGTGGGTGGGTGAGGTGGGGGGGGGGTGTTGCAGTCAGGAGTAAAGAGCTCTTTGTCGTAAGCTCTCTGGGCAGGACGCTGTAGAGTTAAGAGCATACGATTGAAATCAAGAGTTTTTAAGTACCGTACCGGTAAACAAACGTTGAGTGGTACAAGCGTCGAGCTTCATAACATACAATCTGATACCCACCAATCAATGGTTTCAAAAAGATTTCAAGAGGGCCTACTTTTTTCCCACCAAAATATGATTAAGGATGTTGTTTTGTTTTGTTTCGTTTTTTTCTAGTTTCATCTGAGTACGTATTGCTGTAATATTGTAGTTAAGTAAGTATGAGTTCAGTGCGTAATGCCTTTATGAAGGATGCGTATCAATAATGCTGGTGGCCAGTTTGTCTGTAACTTGGTACACTATGTACAATTGATGCCCGCTCCCGTCTCCTAAAGATTACTTTCCAAACTGTATAAAATTGGGAGGCAGCGTGGTGGAATCAGGCTCTCGTCAATTTTGGGGCATGTAGAGTTATTGGTATTATCCTAAAGCTTGTTCACTTGTCTTTATTTGGAAGAAAAAAATGTCCATTTATCTTGAATACAAGTCGTGATATTTGCAAAAGAAGGAGGTGGGGGTCTCCTGTTTTCAGAGGTAAAATTTGTGAGAAAATGGCCGCCAAAGAGTAGTTACTTCCTTAGCTTAAGAGACCATGGTAACTGGCAGCAACAACAACAGCAACAACAACTATTGATAAACTTACCCAAAGCAAGCAAACGTGCAAAACAAAACAAAATAATAAATAAATAAAATCAAAATCAATAAGCGTCCTCGCAATACAAACATAATTCCAAGAGGCATACGTGCATACAAGGAAATCAAGGTTGAAATGGGAAATGGGAACTCCTTGAAATCTCTTTTCATTTTTAGTTTAAATCGAAACAAAATTAAAAGAAAACTGGCTAGCCAAAGACGAAACAAACAACCATAACAATTTTCTCAGCCCTAAAAAGACCACGCCCTCGGTTTGTCGTATTGAAGGACTGGTTCTTGTTTTTGGAGGAGAGTGGGGGGGGAGGCGGTGCGGCGGAACACATGCAGCAATAAAAGCAATGAATTTATAAGCCAATCATTTACACTTGCTGATCACTCGATGGGTTGTTTTTCATAGTCCGACCAGCTAAATGTCACGACTACCTTTTGAACCAATTCGTCTTTCTTTCATTCTTTCACCACCCT